GAGCCAAAAGAAAGTTAAGAATTTAGCATAAAGAAATAAGGAGAAATCAAAAGCCTGGAACAGAAAAAATTATAAAAATTCAAAAATTTGAATTAGGCAATTCAATCCAACTGTCAAAACGGAAAATTCAATGTGACGTGGCGGCCAAGCAAGTTTGTTTTGGATATGTTTTAATGCGTATTTTAAATTATTTTGCATACAGTTTTGCTAACAACTTTGATTTTCATTATTTAATAAAATATTTGTTGACTAGGTACCTGAACTATTAATTCCGGCAGAAACTAGATATTTTTTTGTGTTTTTTGGCCCATGTGTGGCCGCCACGCCATCTTGAATGTCACGTGGTTTGAATTGCCTAATTAAAAGAGAAACATTTTCTTGCTAATACTAGCAATATACTCTCTGAAATAATCTGAGATTTTTAAACTGTTCCGAAGCCTTCCAAAATGCTAATGGGAAGTGTTTTGGAACGTTTTGCCGTTCTGAATGGCTTATTGAAGTTCTGAAGTGTTCTAACTTGACTTGAAAGAGTTCTGGAGCATTTTAGAAGTTTTTGAGTTATTTGTAAATAATTGTTCTGACAGGTTTTTAAGTATTTTAGAATACTATTGAACTAAACTGGTTCGAAAGAGTTGTAAAAGGTTTCCAGCTCTAAATTGAATCCTAATTGTTCTGAAATAACTGAAGTTTCTAAATTGTTCCAAAAAGCTCCTGACAAATCTGATTTGGATGCTTTATTAAAGGTTTGAAAAGTTACAGCAATTTAAATTCGCTCTTGAACGCCTTCTGAAAAGCGTTTTGTGATTTTTAACCTGAATCCTAAAGGTTCTGGAATTGTTCTAAATGTTTCTGGAGGTTCTAGAGCGTTTGAGTGTTTTAGAGCGTCCTAAAATGGGTTTAAATTTTCTGAATTATTGTTTTAAAATGGTTTTGAAGTTTCCAAATTGTTCTAAAGTGCTACAGGCTTTTGGAAATTCTGATTTAAATTTAGTGTTTCGATTCGAACTTTATTCGAAAGGGCTTATTGATGTTCTAAAGTGTTCTGTAGCATTTTAAATGGTTGCCCAGTAACTTCTAAATTGAATGAAAAACTAATTCATCTTGAAAACGACCATCTAAGATGTCCACAAAAAACATTCAAGACGGTTTTTAGACGTCTGCTTACGTGTTCACATCTTAAAGACGTGGTATATGTTACAAAATCCTGAAACCCAACGTCGTTCAAACGTCTGCCTAGAAACGTCTTCATGACATTTTTCTGAGACATGATTTAAAGACATCGATTGTGTGAAGGTTAAGAAAATGAGTTTATTTTCCAGGGAAGGTGACAAAAACTCACATTGTTGTGGGTGTGAAGAATTTACAATAGTTTGAGAATGATGGTTTGCCTATGGTGGGAAATTAAAGGGGATGGTTTTTTTTTGGATTTTTTAGAGTGATCATGAAATAGAGTTGAGATTTTGAATCATCATTTGAAAACCGCTAGACCAAATGTTTTCAGAATCAGGGATGATATTTAAGAATAACTACGCCCAGTTGTCATTTTGAAAGTTGGGGCTCATTTGTTTTTTTAAAAAATGGAGAATTTGCTCACATATAATATCATCATTCCAAATTTCGTTGCAATATACCGAGCGGTTCAAAAGTTAGAGGGTGGAGGAGCAGGGCTTTATGTCCTCTGTTTAAATAAGACAAAATGTCATTTAATGACATGCACAAGTATGTATTACCTTCAATAAAACTACTGGTTATTATGTTTTATGATACCTATTCGACTATTTTTATGTAAATTTTAAAGAGAGATGTCGCAAATTACTAAAATTAGGATAGACCAACTATACAATTTGAAATGAGAAAAATAGGGGCGTTTAGAAAATAGATTTGAATATATGTACAAAAAAATCTAATTAAATTTCGAAAAAAGTTTTCTAATTCCTAAAAACTAGATACACCAAATGGCTATCTTGATTTTTTTTGATGATAATATACAGTGTGTCCACTAGTCCACTTATTAGTTCGCAGCATAATGGGAAACTTTTTCATTATCAATTTTACGAAAAAAGTACTTTTTTCCCTTGTACCTATGATAAATAAAAATAACTATTGTCAACAAACCAACCTGCCAAATTTGAAGAAAAAAAAAATGGATTTTTGAGCTAAAAAAACGATTTTTTTTTTTAAAACTTTTGACACGCTTTATCTCAGTAAATATGTACGCATTTCCGGACACATGTTTATTGGAACTTTTTCTTGAGACATTGTAAGGAATCACATCCTGAAGTTACGCACCGTACTTAGGAAGGATCCTGTAAATTTTTCTATTTTTTGACCACCCTGTAGAAGTTATTTCAAGTTTTAATAATTTAATATTATTTTTTCGAAAAGCAAGAACTTTTATGAAGAATAACTTTTTTTCGTAAAATTGATAATAAAAAAATTTCCCATCCATATGCTGGCGAACTTAAGTGGACACCATGGTATATTATTATTTTTAGAATATTGTTCCAATAATAAATTTATTATCATTATATACTTAATTGTAGTATTTGTAGTTAAAAATCAGCTCAAATTATTATGATACATTTTACGTTCCTCTGGATTTTAATTTGATCTGGCAACACTGTTTCAAATGATCTGGTTGATCCAAGCTTTTATCAGTCATTGCTTAAAAAAACAAATAATAAATGTTTCTCTAGTTTCTTATCAATACGATGTGCCGTCAAAGAAAAATCTGACTGATAATTTTATATTTACCATAAATATTTATGCATTTAAACTTTAAAAAAATCATATGGCTAATAATTCAAAGAATTTTGGAATCCGCATTCGATTCTTGACACTATGGTGAAATCGGTGCTTTCATTGGTCTTTGCTTTGCCTGTTACAAGAAAATATAAAAAGCATATACTTCCCTACTGGAAATAAAATTGTAAAATTTGGCTCTGGCAGAACAGAGCTAAGACTAAACATTTTTTTAGCAATGAGAAATAAGAAAATGAGAATTCTATCATGAAATTACAATTACAAGCTTAATTCTAACACAGCACAGCTTCTTCTAATTTTAGATATTATGTATGAGTATTAAAAATTCATAACTTTAGTTAGGTAGGTACCGATGGTAGGTACCTACTTTTGAAAAAGTACCTAAGCAAAAATTAAATAAATGTTCAGATAAAAGAACCATTATGTATTATAACACAAATGACAAAATCTATTGTTTTGCTGTAGCCACAGTAGATAAAATACCCTTCCTACATCGTGTTTCGAATAAAATCCTTCCGTTCAATCTTATTTATGCGTTCATATCACATAGTTTATGGGGCACTCCATATAGTTTCCTGGAAGGCCTACGTGCCCATAATCTAAAGCCAAACAATTACTCTATTTTACATTTTCAATGGCATTGTCTAAGGCATAAATTTCCACGCCCAGTGATTTCTATTCACTTGAGAGATTTAAATTTGGAGTGGACTCAACTGCACCAACGACACGCGAAGATTATCCATTTTTAGCTACTATTTCGTTGTGAATAAATAATTAAAAATTCAGTAAGTAATACATTTTGAAAATGATAATTGTCAGATAAAATTCAATTAAAATGATTAAGTAATTTGTATTCACATCAAAATACGTTTCAACATCTTATTCTGTAACTTTATTATGGGTTTCCTTTAATGGTAATAAGAAAGATAGATACCTATATCTAGTTTCTTTTGATTTATGGGTAAATAAGGGACTTCTTCAAGATTCCTAAAAATCCTGGAATTTCTTATACACTTGTATTACTACTATAACAACTTCATTTCGTCAATTTTAAGACGCCTCTCTAACGAAAGAGACGAGTCTAAGCTAAGGTCTCCCAATGTGTCGAACAGGTTCTTGCTACTTTAATAGGCGTCTTAAAATTGACGAAATGAAGTTGTTATAGTAGTACCTAATACAAGTACATAAAAAATTCCAGGTTCCAGGATTAGGATTTTTAGAAATCTTGAAGAAGTCCATATTGCTTGTTAAGTAAATCATTTAGAGTCAGAGAATGTGGCAGAGTGCTTGGGTTCACAAGTGTCATACTGGGGAGGTTTTCTAGCGTTTACTCTCTCAGACATCTATTATACACATAGAATCAAATAGCTATATAAAGAAGGTTTCTTGAGCATATTAATTTTACGTTTCGAGAAGATGCTATAGTTGAATATGCTGACATGTGTTCCGATTTTCACCTCATCTTGTTTCGTTCCTCACATTGGTATGTCATAATGCACCATCTAACATTTTATATTTTATTTTTTTTTCTCGAAAACTATTCAAGGGAAAATTATGACACTTTTTGGAAAAAAAAGAGGAAAGTCGGGGGCGTAACATAGTAAAATTTCAAATTTTTCCAATGAAAAATAACCCCATTGGAAATTAATGAAAATCAACTAAATTAGAAATAAATGCACCATCTATAACATTTAATTTTTTTCCTGGAAAACTATTCAAGGAAAAATTATGACATTTTCTGGAAAAAAAGAGGAAAGTCAGGGGTGTATCATAATAAATTTTCAAATTTTTCCAATGAAAAATAACCCCATTGGGAATTAATGAATATCAACTAAATTAGGCATAAATATAATATATACTATACTGACCCATAAATAAACGAGTTATAAATCTGGCAAGTTGGGGATATTATCATTGCCCTACGTTGACTCAAAAATTCGCGAATGGAATTTTACAGCGCAAAAGCTTAGCAAATCCGAACCTCAACGCGCTATAAAACGGAGTCGGAGTTTAATCAAATAAACAGAAAATAATGGAAAGCGAGTAGGTATGATATATAGTAACACACATGAGTTGAGATTTGTTTTGTGACTATTTAAAGACCATTGTAAACCAAAAAATATTCGTCGTGATTTCTGTATTTATTGATTCATTGGTGCAATTCCTCTATATCCGAAACGTAGTACGATACACAACACAGGCATTCAAGATCTTAAGATTTCCACCACTTCACCTACCTGCTGCTGACGTTCAAAAAGTTAACCAGAGAGTCAAAGCGCGGCCATGTTGCTGGCAGTACCATTATAACGCGTTGAAATAGTTTTTTTTCAAATTTTACCACAGTACCGCTGTCCATTCTAAAAACCATGTTTGCAAAGTGCGATTTCGGGCTTATAAAATAGTGTCGTACCAAATCGTGTCTGTCGAGGCGTACTACCGGAATACGTGCATAAATATGCCCATATATTAAAACAAACATAAATGATTAGTATGCAAAACTGATGTGAATTTCTCGAATCGTACTACTTTATGTGACCTACATCGACAAGAAAAGGTATTTACGAAGTAGGTACCAGAGCGACGTAGTACTATTTTGGAGGTCATGGTGGCTCGATATGATTTCTCTCAGTTAGATTGTTAACATGTCCGGTAAAAAACCATTTTTAAGCGCGAAATCAAGCACGGGCGAAGTTGCTCCTACAGGATCGGCGAATACGGTACCACCTAGGTACCAGCCACCACCGGTTCCGAACAGTACCGGGATACTGAAGCATCCGCCATCGGCGAAGGATGCACCTAAATATCCTACGAAAATACCAGATCAAAATTTAAAATATTATCCTTTGCCGCAGCATCAAAAACCATATTACCCTAGTCAGTATCCTCAAGGAATAAGACCTGAGGATCATTCTACTAGGATTACTCAAGTGCAAGTGCATCAACCGGATAGTAGGAGTAGACCCTTGGATGAACCAGGAATTCCACAGGTAGATATTTTCTTATAAACAATAACTCGAATTCATTTTTATCATTAATAATTATTACCTATCTTTTATTAATTTACCTATAAGGAAATCCCATTATTCAATAATTAATTGCATGCATGAATATTATTCAGGGTCATGCAATGGTACCATACCATATGTAATTCGAATCCAATTATGAAGAAGCTCATTAAAGTAATTATTATTTAATTCATCTAATTATACAGGTTACATTAAAATAGGTATCTGCAAATTGATACCTTTATCCATGTATTAGGTATACCTATGAATAGGAAATGGGAAGTGATAATTTTTTACAAAAATAATTTTCTTGATTTTGGTGTGAGAATGTCATTATTCTCGCACGGAAAATTGTTGAACAAAGCTCATTCTTCAACGATTTTTAGTGACATTTAAGTTTTCAAAGTATACCTATTCTGCCCTCCTGAGAATAAACGCGTATGTTCATGAGGCGGTGAACTGAAATACATATTCACTTTTAAAGTTTTCGGCTTGGCCCTTTCACATTTATGACATTCAAATAATTTTTATTGTAGATTCTTGTAATAAATACCTCCAGAATTCTATAGAATTTTTTTTAATTTGATAAAATTCACGTACCAAAGATAAAGGCGGTAAGTTCGCAAACAGCCAGTATTTTTACCGCCTTTATTACTGGTAGAGCCTAGATACCGCATTCATATTTGGCACAAATTGGTAATAGGAACATACGGCAGGATTTTTGTGTATAGTTTTAGATAGTTCTAGTTAAGATACGGCATTCATATATGGCAGACAGCTAAATTAAAGCAAAAGAAAATTTTTGGCAACAAAAACTCGATATTCGAAATTGTTAAACATATGGCGTTTATTCTTAGGAGGGCAGTATTGGTAGGTATTAGAAGTTTTTCTATATAATGAAATGGGAAATGGTTCTTATTTTGAGGGTTCTTTACTTAGAACCATTTTTTTTTTAATTGTCTCATGTTTCACATTTGTTTCTTTTGATAAAATCCCATGATCCTATACCTATTATAAAAGTAAGATAGAAAAACTACCTTCACCACATTATATTATGACAAATGTTTTTTTTTGCCATTTTTAGGGTATTTTTTATTCTAACTTAGATGGTCGCTAGTTAATTTTTGTTCTTGGGAAACTTAAGTACAATAATGCTAACTTTCCACTGGTTCATTAGAGGTGGAACAAAATTGTTAACTAACTTATAGTTCTCATTTATTCATCTAGCAAGTGCAGAAAAGAATACTTTACGGCACTCCAGGGCGGTAAAGACGCGCGCTTTCCAAATGTGTTAGAATTGACAAGCTACGTTCAAAAAAAGACACCATTGAATAAAAATTATTGTATTTCTGGAAAATTTTTGATTTAAAATTTAAGGAAAATATTTAAATAAAGGTAGAGTTGCGCAGTTTCTTGCTCCACAAAATGCCGATCCAAATTTCCGTTTTTTCCTTATATCTCCGGAACTTCTGGAGATATGAGGAAAAAACCAAAATGATGCACACTTGTTTTTATTTTTTCTTGGATTCATTTGAACAGTTATTTCGAAATAAATTCACGCCTCATCATTGAAACTTTTTCCCCTCTACACGTTAAGAGGCCAACAACAAGCCGTTAAAAATTGAGAAAAAGGGTTGATTTCCCGAGACGAGAACTCACTTATTTTGCAATATTTTTTGACCGGATTAGAAAATAATGAAAGATAAAAATCTAAAGAATAATGCTGTTGTTTTAGTTTTTCGAAAAAAAAATTACAAATTGAAAATATCACGACCTAAATACTCGAAAAAAAGCATCATTTCTATCGCTCGGTACATCCAAACCCATCGCTTTTTTAAAAAAAATTAAACAAGAGCATTGTTCTAAATTTTATTATCTTTTCGAATCTTCTTGATTCACTCAAAAATATTAAGTAGTTTTTGAGATCTCGTCTCAAATTGTAAGCCCTGCAAACACGGAAATTCAAAAATTTTGGCTGCAGCGAGGTGCTGCCTCTGGCGGATTTAATTTCGCACCGGGGTAAGTAAAAATTACACAACGCGAGAGGACTGCAAGGCCAGTTATTAGTTTGTGTAAATAATTATGGTGAATATATTTCATAATGAACTCAAAACGAACAAAGATAACTTTACTAGAATTGAATAAACGAAAGAGGATATCATATAGCATAGTTAAATACAGTTAGTACGTGAAGGTTAGGAATAAAATCCATCAAAAATACAAGGTTGATTTTTTTTTCAAAAAATCTCGGGTACGTCGATTTTTGATTTTAGTGGCCGTTTTTTTGATGAGAATTTCATACATTTGTCAAAACTGACATACCAACAATAAACTAACATGTTTTGATTGTTGATTTGAACCAATCAGATTGGAATTACGTGATAATTTATATTAGTGTAAATTATTGCATAGTAACTAATGCGAGAACTGGTGTTTTGACAAAAAATTTGAATTTTTGATTCATGAAATTTTCTCATAAAATACAGTGTGTATCCACTTAAGTTCGCAGCACATGGGAAACTTTTTTATTATCAATTTTACGAAAAAAAGTTATCCTTTATGAGAGTTTCTGCTTCTTGAAAAAATAATATCAAACTATGTATTAAAAGTTGAAATAGCATGTACAGGGTGGTCAAAAAATAGAAAAATATACAGGGTATTTCCTAAGTACGGTCCGTAACTTCAGGATGTCATTCCTTACGATATTTTAACAAAAAAAGTTCCCATAAATATGTGACCAGAAATGCGTAGTTTCTGAGATTCAGGGTGTCAAAGTTTTAGAAAAAAATCGTTTTTTTAGCTCAAAAATTTTTCAATTTTTTTTTTTTTTTTTAATTTGGCAGGTTGATTTGTGATAACGAAAGGTTTCTTTTGACTGAAATATGACTTGCTTAATCTGAAAAAAATATCAAAGGTTTAAAAAAATAGTGATGTGCCATTTTTTTTCTACTTTTACCAAAAAACCCTGCATATTTTCCTATTTTTTAATCCCCCTGTACCGGGTGTTTTTTTATCTTCGATATCATTTTGATCACCTGTAACTTTTTTGTTTTTGAAGTTATCAAGGTAAACAAAAAAACAAAATGTAGGGTTAGTAGCCAAGTTTTTTTTCAAATTACACGTAAAACAAAACACTATCAACTTTTTGACATATAAGCCTACATTATATTTTTTCAAATGGAACACCCTGTATATTATATATGTGTTCGATAGAATATCTTATTCTGATTACAATGATATAGCACACTTCATATTTTGGTCCACTCGTTTTTGACAAATCGGCAAAAATATGAAACTTTCGAAGTGAAACTTATTAGGCGGCGGCGGCGCGGTCTGATATTTGGGACGAAAATTATTGAGAGCATATAAAAATTTCATATATTTTTGCCGATTTGTCAAAAACGAGTGGAACAAAATATGAAGTGTGTTATATCATTGTAATCAGAATAATATGCTCTAACGTACACACATATAATATACCGGGTGTTCCATTTAAAAATAGTAGGTACATTAAAATACAAGCTTCATAAGACGTGATTTTATCGCACGAGCCCCATATTAGAAAACAAGCCGGAGGCGAGATTTTTAAAGGACGAGTGCGATAAAATGTCTTATGAAACGAATATTTTATACTATTTTTTCTATTCTGGTATTGTTTAATTTAAAAAAAACAAATTTTTCTTGGAAATTTTATTCTCATATTTCCTGATTTCATGTTTAGGTTGGTAACATTACATGCCAAATATAGAATTAAGGGCGGGTATTATAAAACTACTTTGAGAGTTAACTTAAAGTTAATTTTTGAAATTACATGTAATTCAAAAAGTTAACTTTAAGTTAACTGTCAAAGCAGTTTTATAATACTCGCCCTAAATCTTCTATAAAATCGAGAATGACAGTGCGATGGCCATCAGTCAGCCAGTGTTACCAACTTCCGATAAGTGAAAAAGGAGTGTCACAAAGAGCTTCTTTTCGAAACTACTTTTAGTCTCGAAAAGACTTCGATATGAAACCAAAATAAAAAAAATATAATGTAGGCTTATATGTCAAAAAATTGATAGTGTTTTGATGTTTTGTTTCATGTGTAACTTGAAAAAAAACTTGGCTATTAATCCTACATTTTGTTTTTTTGTTTACCTTGATATCTTTGAAAACAAAAAAGTTACAGGTGATCAAAATGATATCAAAGATAAAAGAACACCCGGTACATGCTATTCTAAGTTTTAATAGTTTAATACTATATATTTTTTCAAGAAGCAGAAACTTTCATAAACAATAACTTTTTTTTGTAAAATTGATAATAAAAAAGTTTCCCATATGTTGCGAACTGAAGCGGAAACACTGTACAGGGTGGCCCGTTTAAGAGGGGCCTATACCTTATCTCGAAATCTACAAGGGTTGCAAAAAAAATTAAATACAAAAGTTGTTTCTAATAAAATTATCTACATTTTTTTTTCATTGTTTTTGTTGTTACTGTACTATATACAGGGTGGAGAGATAAAATTTAATTTTTTTAAATGGAACACCCTATATCGTAATACACTTTTACATAACCCTTTGAAAGACAAATCCAACGATATACTGGGCATGTGTCTGTGATAAACCGTTTCGAACTTATTAGCGATTATCTTCAGGGATTCAGGGTAATTTTGAACAGGCATTGTTACGTTACTCATAAACTTTTGAAACTTTTTTTTTTGCGTGATATTTTTTATAAAATGATGCTCTTTTTTAGACTATACTGAAATTTAGCAAAATGTTACGCTTTTCAATTTTTTTTAAATGGGACATCCTGTAAATTTTCGAATTTTTGGATAGCCTTTTAAAATACAAATTCAACGATATACTGGACATGGGTCTGTGATGCACCCATTTTGGCCTGATTGGCGATTATCTTCAGTTCTAGCACAATATTTCATGTCATCCCTGATGAATAAAAAACAATGTCCAATTTTGCATTAGATTAGCTGAAATAGTGCTTT